TCCAACCGAAGTGTGTTTGCTACAGCGAGGAACGAAGGTGGGCAACCTGCAGGGCCTGATCCCGCATCCCTGTCATGACCTTTGCTGCCTTCTCTTTGCTGCTGCAGACACTTCCCAGCCAGCCAGCGTCCAGGCTGCTGCAGCCAGAGTGTCCGAGCGGCTGAAGGGAGCCAGGCTCAATCTGCTGATCAATAATGCTGGCATGGCTCTTCCAAGCACTCTGAAGTCTGAGAAGCCAGAGGACATGGCTGAGGTGTACAAGACCAATGTGATTGGGCCCATGGTGGTGAGCCAGGTAAGGCCATTTGGGGGCCCCTTCCTCACAGGAGTAGCTCGCCATGTTGCAGATCCCAAACCCTTTGGAGAGTAAGGGGATGCACAACCCTGGTTCGTGGTGATGGGGTGATGACCTCCTGCACTGGACAAAGGGGTCAAGCCTTACATGCTGATCAGGAGACAGACTCTCCACTGGTGCAGCTTTGCCATTTAGTGGAAACTTATGCCTGTGAATCCAATATTGCACAGAGTACAAACATTCAGAAAGAACCTGGACAGCCATCTGAGTGGGATGGTGTAACGTGGCATCCTGCAACAGCCGGGGGTTGGACCCCGTGGTCTTCACGGCCCCTTCCAACTCTTCTATACTATGATTCAAGCAAACATTGGCATGCTGTGAATCGGCACTGCTGGACCACCATTTCCTTTCCCATGTGGCCCCTGACCTGGTGGAGAGAAGCCCTGTCCTCTCTCCAGAACCACTCGATTCTTCCTGCTTCTCCAGGTGTTCCTGCCCTTGCTGAGGAAGGCAGCTCAGGAAAGCCCCCAGAAAGGGATGAGCTGCAGCAAAGCGGCCATCATCAATATGTCCAGTGAAGCTGGCTCCATCGCTAATCTCTTTGCATGGGAGTACGGACAAGTTGTCAATTACCGATGCAGCAAGGTATGGAATCTCATTGGTCCAGTGCTGAAAGGCTGGCTCTGCTAATATTAGAATTCTCTCTTCTGAGCAGTGACAGGGTCTTCTGCCCATGGGGTAAGCGGGCAGCGGTTCAGCATGTAGATGAAGTTTGGCCACACTTATTTATCTGAGTTAAGCATATGTGGAGGTTCAATGATCAGGCCCTTAAGGAGCCATCATTCTTTTTTATTATCCTGGCTGGGAGAAAAGGTTTTTTTTTAATGATTTCCAGAGAGTGATATGCCAACTCCACATTTACGAAGAGGGAGATTACTTATGATTGTGATAATATCCAAACATATGAGCTAGACTTCCAAAACTTTTAGCAGTGCGCCTCTTAAACTGCACAGCGAGGCCCCTGCAAGGTGGTACTCCAATCAGCTGGGTTCAGAAAAAAGAGCAGAATCCCCCTCAAAATGATTCTGAATCCAAGAACAAAGAAAGTGGCTAGCCTTTTTAGATTACAAACTTATAGCATTGTAGCGCATGCATACAGCATTCTGCATAATTAACATATGTGATATTGTTGACACAGGTGCTAAGAGATAGTGAAGTATAGTGAGCTAACAAGGACGGTCAACGTTTCATCTCTGTTTGAACACTAGAGCATAGGCTCATTGCTGCCTCTCGCCCACAAAGTAATTCCTGCAAGGAATGCTCAAGGGCATTGTCCTTGTGCCATCCCAACATCAGGAAAGGAAAACTCCCTGGTTTTGTGAAAGCAGACTGTCATGGTCAGAGCAAAGGTAACTGAAGCACTATTGTAAGCAACTAGACTTTAATGCCAAGCAAAGCAAGCAAGCAATTTAAAGGGCTAGAGAGACACAGGACTGGCTTTTGGGGCTCAGGTCTGTTACACTTCATCAGGCTTCTCATGTGGGGCTGGCTTTGTGTTTTCTTTCCCCCTGCAGAAACATGTTTTCCCTCTGTTCTCCTACACCCACAAGCCCTTCCTTTGAGGCAGCTGCCTCTCAAGGAAATGGGCTGTTTCATTCCTCTGTTTGTCCCCTGCAGGCTGCTCTGAACATGCTCACACGGTGCCAGTCATTGATATTTGCCAAAGAGGAGATCCTCTGCTCTGCAGTGCATCCTGGATGGTTAAAGACAGACATGTCAAACCACCCGGTAGGTGACCCATGAGACTCTCCTTCCCAGAAGCCTTAAGATTGAGCTCATAGAGTCATAGAATAGTGGGGTCAAAAGGGGCCAGGAAGGTCCAACCCCCTGCTGGAGCAGGATGTCACGTCACACCATCCCACTCAGATAACTCTCCAGTTTCTCCTTGAATATCTCCATGTGGGAGAGCCTGCAATGTCTCTTGGCAACTGGTTCCTCTGTTGCATCCAATTTTAGAAGGCAACCCCCTTGTGAGGCAGGTATCTTTTACCCTCTTCTTCCTCTTTTCCTCATCATTGTTTGGAGGCCGAAAGTCCAACACATCTGAAGGGAGAACAACTAGCAAAACGGCTTCTTAGCTGTTGCCATCTCAAAGAACTGCAAAGTTTCATTCCATTTCCTCCCTCTGGTCAGCCTGAGCATGTGCAGACAGACATGGGGAGGGTAGGTTACTCGTGAGAATCTCCTTCCCAGAAGTCACAGCATCGATTGAACTACTTGAGATTTCATCCAATTGGTTGATGTTGCATTAACTAACTCATCACTACTGCAGCCGTGTTTTAGACACTGTCTCCCGATTCGAAAGAGAGGAGAGCTCCAGGGAGCTAATCTCCCAAGGAAACCTTGTGACTCTCAAGCAGCTGATCCACAAGCAAAGTGGTGCTGGGGGTTCATGCGCATGTATGTCCATGTGTGCACATGTTTCCTATTCCGCGAAATGGAGGGTGAAATCAATGCCTTCTCTACCTCCTTTGAAAACAGTCTTTGGCACATTTTCCCTCTACTTCTCAATCACCTCTTTCCACCTTTGGTGTCCGAGTCTCAGAAAAACTACTGAGAACTCGAGAATCCAGATGTCTACTCAGAAAGGAGTCAGATTATCTTTCATGGTGTGTACCCCTGGGAATGTCAGCGGG